TGAATCCCATATCACCTCCCTATAAAGAATGGTTGAACATGACATTAAAATCCTCAAATATCAAGTCATGGGTATTAAAAATCTTGACTGCTTCCCCAGTATCCACATGTATTCAAATCCCACAGGGAGGTACCAATGACTTCAATAATTTGGAGTATAAATGTATTCACCCACAAAAAATGTTTTCTTGCCTTTGAAAACATTTTTTAGTTGATTATATAGAAAACTGCCAAAAACTTATTATTTTAAATGTGAATGTTTAGGTAAGTGGCTCTGAGATGAGAGATTCTATTAACTTATCTCAGGGTCAAAAACAACTTCTAATCAAAACATTTCATCAGTTTTATTTGAATATGTGAGTCACATGGCCCCTATTTATAAAGCTATAGGCATGCCCCTGGCTTTATCTCTTTAATCTCAAGTATGCAGAAATGAAGTTAATAGAAGTAAAAGAATGGACCCAGCAAGGCTTTTAAGTAGTGGAGATATGTTTAAATCCAGATCTGTCTTAATCTGTGCTGTTAAAAAATATTGTTACATTCTTTCCTGTTGGTCATTGTTCTAGTTCAAAATTTCTGTGGATTATACTTCAAAGAGTGGATCTTGGTGTTAGAGACACCTTTAAACAACAGTTTCACTTACTTTACTGGTAGCCATATTGTCACCCATGACTGTTAGCGCTACTTCCCGCGGCTACCTTCAACTGTAGATGCTAAAGAACACTAACACGAAGGTTCTTCCCCAATTCATTCATTCAATCATCCATTCAGTTACTCACTCACTCAGGCATTCATTTTGTAAACATTCATCATGCTTAGTGCATGCTAAAGTTAAAAATAAGATAGTAATTTGAGGTCCATGGCCAAAAGGAGGGCCCATTCTCGTAGGAAACAGACATATAAACTAGAATTTGGGCTCAGTCAGGTGTTACAGGTGCTGCACAGATATGCATTGTTAGGGTGGGGTTTAAAATAGGGCATGGGCACTTAGAAGAGTAGGTTAGGGAAGCTTTTATTTCAGAATGAAAGATAATGCTTGAATTTTGCCTTGATATCGAAAGACTCAGACTGAAATAATGGTAAAATAAAGCAGTTCTGAGTAAAAACTTATGGAACATGTAGACTTTGAGATGTTTGAGAACCACTGAGGTTCTTGATCAGGGAATCAACCTCATCAGATTAGCATTTTAGAAAAATCAAGCTAATATTATATAACGGGCCTAATGGATAGAGGTGGCAAAATTGTGGTCAGGGGGACATTTAAGAAGTGGTTGCTGCCCAGGCAAGAGATGACTGTGGCTGACCTCAGGAAACTGAGAAGGTGTGATTGAAGTAGAAAATTAATGCCATTTCAAGTATTTAATTCACTCTCATCACAGAGATGGCCCAGGGCAAATGGCTTAAAACACCAAAGAAGAATGAAGTTTTAGTCTAGTCCCATGTTTGTCTAAGTTAAATAGGGAACATATAAAAGAATGAGGTAATTTAATTTTTTAACCAATTTTTCAGTTTAGGATTCCCAGTATATATCATTTTCTAGAACTCTGTCCTCTAGGATATGACGCAAATCTATTCAATTAGACTTCACTATCACATGTTACATTGCAAAATACTCTGGCTTCTAGAACTTTCTTCTGGGGTCATCTCACCTAGGACCACCCCCCTATCACCTCCTTTTGTTCTCACCCGTATGGATCATATGACTTCTTTCCACATGTTTCATAGTGTTTTACACACAATAGATGGCCCAGGTGTTTACTGAATAAAATTGTCAGTGAAAACTATGAGTCTATATAATTAGAGAGAGCTCAAAAGCAAGAGAAAGAGAGAGAGAGCATTTGGCATTTGAAAGGAAATAACTTATTTATACATGTAGAGTTTACATTGTCTAGCTTTTCTGTAACTATTTATTTCATTTATTTAACAAACAAGAATCATCTCCATGACAACTACATCAAGTAGTGCATAAACTCAGTCTTGATGGGGGGTGGGTAGGGGCAGGGCCAATTCTGGGAAATCCGGTTCTCACTATTTCACAAATCTTCATCTAGAAGTCTAGAAGACTGAGAGTCACCCATCCTCTTTCATTTTCCTTTGACTAGAAAAGTATAGATTATGTTTGCAGGAACATGAAATCATGGGTAGCAGGAAAGATCTTAATGAAACATCCCCCCTTACCACCATTTTAAGAATTGCATCTTAATGACTGCAAACTGAAGTGCAAGATGTAATAATCTCTTGCTGTGGTTAAACTCTGCCCTTGGAAAACTTCAACACAAACTCCAAACAAGTATTTGAAATAGGATTTGGTCTTCTAAAACTCATGCTAATAACAAATGGCTTTATGAGCAAAGGCATAATGCTTTTCAGAATTGTTTTAAAATTTAAAAAATATTTTTAAACTATTCAGTGGTATTTTCATAGTAGCTTTTTGTTTCTCAAAAACTGTAACTAGCTCTTTTCCTATATACTTTTTTTTCACAACACTCCCAAAGATATTCACTCAATGTTTCCAGATTGTGCTCAAAACAGCTGCCATGCATCTAGGATTTAGTTACTAAATTCCTGTGAAATAGCAGAGTCCTGAGTCAAAAGCTCCAAGGGTTTGAGGGTAAATCTTGAGTACTTACATTTCACTTTGGTATTTTCGATTATATATAGAAATAATATATCAATAAGATAGCAAACAATGCTATCCCTTAATGACTATTGTAATTGTCAATCAATTAATGTATTAACTGGCAAATTAACATATACAGAATACCATAGCAGTAAACTTTAAGGATTAATGAAAATATCAAAGATTCCTGAACTTTTTGCTAAGTCAGAATATTTTCACCCTCCTGTTAAGGCTACATTGTTTTTCTCTCTGGGTTAAAATAAAATATAAGACTTTGGGCAAGGTTTCATAGGCAGCTAATGAAAGGGGTTCATATCTGGTCATAAATTATTCTTATTTTGCTTCTCAGGATACTCATGATCTTATCTTCTGAGCAAACCATCCTGTCATTTCCCCCTACATTTCCAGCACTGCCTAAAAGAACCTGGTAAACCACCTGAAATGATAGGAGATAAACAGTTGTTTAAGTACTGCTTACTTCCAATGAAAGGCTCTTTATAATCATAATCCTGACTAGGATGACAATTTATTGTTATAGACAAAACTCAAACAAACTTGCCAAAAGCATCCAGCAAACTAATTTCCTTCACTTACTCATCTTCTGAGTTTATACTTCCTGTACCATCAGATGAAATTAATAGTAACAGTTAATATTTACCTGAGTGTTCAGCATGTGTCAGGCTCTTTCTTAACACTCACCTCAACTAATTTAATACACAAGCCAATCTCATGTGAATTATTATCCCTATTTTACGGTTTAGGACACCAATGCACAAAGAAATTAAGAAACTTGCCACTTACATAGTAAGCAAGTAGCAGATACAAGATTAAAATCCAGGGGGTCCGATTACTAAGCCTAAGCAGCTAATAATTTTTTCATACTGCATAGGATCAGTTTATTGATAATTTTTAATTTCTGAAAACAGAGGTTGTAACTACATATATTTTGATTTTTTTTTTTTTTTTACTTTTGACTTGATGTTTGGTATCATGCATACAATTAGATAACCAGAGCAAACCTCCCCAACTGCAAATATATTTTATATTGAATTAGGGCCATATTTTTAGAGAATCATTTTCCCAAACACATTTTAAATAATAATATATTGGGTTTCTTGTTCCCAATGATGGACTGAGTACATATGTACCCTCTCATCAAACCCACGATGCCACTGAAATTGAAGTATGGAAATGCAAAAATACATAAGTCTTATGACAGTAAAGCGAAGGAAAATGAAGGGCACACACAGTGGAGAAACTTCGAAAGATTTATGAGAGAAACAGAATATAAGGGAATGTGTTGATAGGAGGAAAATGCAAAGAAAACCTGCCCGTCCAGATACACTCAGAGGGCACCCTGGAGGAGGCAGGGGAATTTCCGTAATGGATGCTGGAGAGGTGCTAGGTGTCTAGTCTGCAGATGTGACAGAGATGGAGGATGAGAAGTAGAGAAGAAAGCCAGGGGATTCATGGGAGCTCTGTTCATGAAGCTCGTAGAGCAACCAGCTGTGCTGTCCTCCCTCTATCACCTGGGCAACAATGGGCTCCTTAGTATAGGAGCTGCATCCTTTCTAAAGAAATGGATGGATGGCTGGGATAACCTGGGGGTGGATAACATTTAAGATATGACATGATGCTGTTCTCAATTCGGACATGTGAGGATCTCCCAGCCCAGTAGCCCCCTAGTTAACATTCCTTGTCTTGTCTCACATGGAGCTCCAAGAGTTTCTACTCCAAGCAAAGACTTGGAAGAAATGAAAGTGATTTACAAAACAGTCCAGAGAGCCAAAGCAGTGACCCAAATCTTTCTTCCTTAAATATAAATGGAAAATATAGCATCATAAGGCATATCCAAAACACCAAAACATGAAAGACCAAGATAAATCTACAGAAAAGCTGATCCCAGAGGAAAGAGATAAAACAAAACAAAACAAAAAAGAACTTTAAAAATTCCAAATGATAGATTCAGAGAAGTTGAAAGTATACCTAAATAAGAAGAGTCTTCCATCATCTAAAACTAATGATGTAATGTATGGGATTAACATAAGAAAAAAAAAAAAAAGAAGAAGAAATAAACAAGAAACAAAGAGAAAAAAAAAAAAAAAGAAGACTCTTCCATGAAAAGAAAATCAGAATATTAAAATAAAACAGTTCTCAAAGATTAAAAACATGATTTCTGGAATTTCTGGGTTTCAAGAATTAAATCTCTTGATTTAACAAGAGAGTCAATGATATTTCCCCAAATATACAAGAACAACAAGACAAATAGAAGACATGATTAAATGAAACAGAGTCTTAAAGACCCTTTAAAATGTCTAATATCTAATAATGGGGGCTTCGGATAGAAAAATAAAGGAAAGAGTCTCCACCCGGGCTCCACCATGTTGGGTCTTGTGGGTCGTGTGGCCGCTACTTTGGCCTCTGGGGCCTTGAGGGGACTCGGCCCTTCAGCGCCACTACCCCAAGCCCAGGTCTTACTGCGGGCCACCCCGGCAGCGCTCCAGCTTGCCAGACACTATGCCACCTAAACATCTTTCCGAAAGCAGGTGCTGCCACCAGGTGTATCGTGGTGGTCATTGGTGCAGTGGTGGATGTCCAGTCTGATGAGGGACTACCACCCATCCTAAATGCCCTGGAAGTGCAAGGCAGGGAGACCAGGCTGGTTTTGGAGGTGGCCCAGAGAGCGCAGTAAGGACTATTGCCATGGATGGTACAGAAGGCTTGGTTAAAGGCCAGAAAGTCCTGGATTCTGGTGCACCAATCAAAATTCCTGTTGGTCCTGAGACCTTGGGCAGAATCATGAACGTCACTGGAGAACCTATTGATGAGAGAGATCCTATCAAAACCAAACAATTTGCACCTATTCATGCTGAGGCCCCTGAGTTCATGGAGATGAGTGTTGAGCAGGAAATTCTGGTTACTGGTATCAAAGTCATGGATCTGCTGGCTCCCTATGCCAAGGGTGGCAAAATTGGGCCCTTTGGTGATGCTGGAGTTGGCAAGATGGTACTGATCATGGAGTTGATCAACAGTGTCCCCAAAGCCCATGGTGGTTACTCTGTGTTTGCTGGTGTTGGTGAGAGGACCTGTGAAGGCAATGACTTATACCATGAAATGATTGAGTCTGGTGTTATCAACTTAAAAGATGCTACCTCCAAGGTAGCGCTAGTGTACAGTCAAATGAATGAACCACCTGGTGCTCACGCCCGGGTGGCTCTGACTTGACTGACTGTTGCTGAATACCTCAGAGACCAAGAGGGTCAAGATGTATTGCTCTTTATTGATAACATCTTCCACTTCACCCAAGCTGGCTCTGAGGTGTCTGCTTTATTGGGCAGAATCCCTTCTGCTGTGGGCTATCAGCCTACCCTGGCCATTGATATGGGTACCATGCAGGAAAGAATCACCACCACCAAGAAGGGATCTATTACCTCTGTACAGGCTATCTGTGTGCCTGCTGATGACTTGACTGACCCTGCCCCTGCCACTACCTCTGCCCATTTGGATGCTACCACTGTGCTGTCCCTCATTATTGCTGAGTTGGGCATCTATCTAGCTGTGGATCCTCTGGATTCCACCTCTTGTATCAGGATCCCAACATTGTTGGAAATGAGCATTATGATGTTGCTCGTGGGGTGCAAAAGATCCTACAGGACTACAAATCTCTCCAGGACATCATTGCCATCCTGGGTATCGATGAACTTTCTGAGGAAGACAAGTTGACTGTGTCCCGTGCACAGAAAATACAGCGTTTCTTGTCTCAGCCATCCCAGGTAGCTGAGGTTTTCACAGGTCATATGGGGAAACTGGTACCTCTGAAGGAGACCGTCAAAGGATTCCAGCAGATTTTGGCAGGTGAATATGACCGTCTCCCAGAACAGGCCTTCTATATGGTGGGACCCATTGAAGAAGCTGTGGCAAAAGCTGATAAGCTGGCTGAAGAGCATTCATAAGGAGGTCTTTTTGGCAAACTAAGCACTGGTCCTCTTCCGTGCTGTGCTTCTCCTTGCCCCTAATCCAAAAATCTCGGTTTGCTCTGTAGGCCATATGAGAGCCTTGTTTGAAGACATTGTCTGTCTGAAGGGTATTTAAGGTTTCCAAAAAATGTACATCCCTCAAAAAATAAATAAATAAATAAAGGAAAGAGGCGGGGAAGAAATTGTTAGACAGTGTTTGAAAGCTGGAGACATAAGTCATTAGATGGAGGAAACAAATCGTAATTTATTACATCCTTTATGAAATTTTGGGGGAGGGAATGGGTATTAAGAGGGAAACAAACATAAAACAGGTTACTTACAAAGAATGGGAATCATATTGGCATCAGTCTTCTTGTCAGCAACAAGGGGCACTAGGAGATAGTGGAGCAATGTCTTTGAGGTTTTAAGGAAAAGGATTCTCAACCTAGAATATTATACCTAATCTAATCACCAAAGACAAAAGAAGTTATTTAGGTGCTCTGTAAGTTTACCTCACATGGATCCTTTTTAGGAGCTTACAAAGGAATGAATGTACTACACACAAAAGAAAACCTAAACCAAATGAAGTCATAAATTAGACTTCAAGAGATTCAACCCTCAGAGAGTAGTAGCAATCCTTAGGATGAAGGTCAGCAGTCAAACTTGAGAGTAATCAGAGCAGGATAGAACAAGAAGATAAAAGGCTAAGGGGGGATGTCTCCAGAGGGAAAATAAGATGATTTAAATAGGTTAGATAGGATAATTGGAAAGTTTGAAGAACTTGAGGATACTCTTTAAAAAAAAAATTATTTATTTGAGAGAGAGAGTGTGTGCTCTTGAGTGTAGGGGTGAGGGGCAGAGCAAGGGAGAAAAAGTCTCAAACTCCTCACTGAGTGTGGAGCCTGACTCGGGGCTCAATCTCACACCTCGAGATCACAACCCACACTGAAACCAAGAGTCGGTCGCTCAAACAACTGCACCACCCAGGCCCTCTAGAATTTGAGGATTGTCTTAAGGCTCATGATAATTGGAGAAAAAAGGGGAAAAATGTGATTAAAAATCCAGGAAAATAAAGCTGTGAAATAAAACACGTATGGTCCAAATATGAAGCAATATTAAAATTTAAAATATGAATTAATCAATAGGGTCGAAAAAAAAATCTTCTATCAACCTTGGTGCTAGGGCCTTTTCCCTCTGGGTGACTCAGAAGTTTCCAATGACACCTCACAATCTGCAATGTATGCTTGAATTAAAACAGATAGCCAAAACAGTGTCATAGAAACATTAGATTGTATATTTAATATGAAATAAATATAGATTATCAATCACATATTGAGTATATAACAAAATGCGTAACACAGCGCAGGCTTAGAGGTGAACAGATAACATACAAAATAATTAGTTGGGAAACCCTAGCAATTCATGTAGCAGAACACCTTTCATACTATTTCATTGTATCTTGTGGCTCATCAGAGCATTCCTTAAAGGTGAACCCTAACAAGAACAACAACACAATTACATGATGTCTAGGTCAGCACTAGCTGCCATAACAAAATGCCATAGACTATGTGGCTTACACAGCAGACATTTCTTTTCTTATAGTTTTGGAGACTGGAAGTCTGAGATTAGGGTTCCAGCCTGGTCAGTTTCTGGTGTGAGCTCTTCCCTTTGGTTGTGGAGGCTGCCTTTTCCCTGTGCGCTTACGTGACCTGTTCTTTGTGTGAGCGGGGCTTGGGGGAGGGGGCCAGCAAGCTCCCCGATGTTTTCTTATAAGGGCACCAATACCCTCATGAAAGTCCCACTCTCATGACCTCATCAAACCCTACTGACTTTCCAAAGGCACCATCTCCATATATTATCACATTGGAGGTTAGGGGTTCAACATATGAACTTTGGGGGGTCACAGACATTCAGTCCATAAAACATGAGTTTAACATTTTCATCTACCTATAATTTTATTTTTTTATTTTTTATTTTTTTAAAAGATTTTATTTATTTGAGAGAGAGAGAGAGCCAGAGAGA